AAATTTTAGTTCTCTAATTCCAAGTTAAATTCCACTATTTGTTTTTATGTTTTTGGAGTTTAAACCCATTGACATCGATGCTATTGAAATTTGCCTTTCGTTCCCAAATTTGTGTGGCTATTGCGTTACGTGTGGACTTTAGTAAATGGAATTGATATGTGAAATCATGATATCGTGTATCAATTTTGTCACTTGCAGGACCCTAGCTAAACTATGGTTGATTTCATTTATCTTCTGGATTTAACATTGCACTTCATTCTTAATTCAGGATCACATGCTCATAGCCGTCTACTCTTGAAGTTCCAATCTTTTGGTTCATTCATACTGAACCGTTAGTGTGACAAACATTATCAGGCCAAGGCACTTTCAAATATGGTTATTGTTGTCCAATCAGAGTCGTCATCCTGGGAAAGCCATCTTCAGTGTAATGGAAAATCCCTTTTGTGGGATTTGAGGTTTGTGTTTCTTGCATTCCTTTTTTTTCATCAAATAAAAGAAGTGAGAGTTTTCAGAATTATTTCTCTATGGTTATTGTTGCCCAATCAGAATGTATTCCTAGTTGTTGACTTATTTGTCTACTATTGATTTGTTTTTTTTTTCTGGATTCAGGAGGCCCATCAAACCTGCTTTGGCTGCCGTTCTGAACATCTGGCTGGTTTGCTTCCTCTTCAGTTTGTCTACAGCCATGCACATGGCTGCAATTGAGGTTTGATAGTTTAGATGTTTTTGAGATCTTCCTTATGATTAAGTAATACTGATGCTCGCAGTCACCTTAACACCCCCAGGCTTTCTTTTTCAATAACACTCTAAACCAAGTGAATGAATAATGGTCTGAATGTTCTTTTTCCCATTAGTGTGGGTCTGGTGTGGTTTAATCACATAGGTGACCTTTAAAATTTCTATTTTTTGTAGTTTTCATTTATTTTGATCCTTCTCTCTCTAACATACATATTTATGGTACTATTCTGTTTGTCTGCTTTTACTGCAAGTTTCTGTTTTATCCCTCTAAAACATGTATTGGAGACAATTGATCAGACATTGGATGTGTGAACATGGGTTTTAACTATGATGAAGTGTGGTACTAATAACTTCAGAATATAAACTGTATGTATATGATTTCAGTTTACAACCTGATGTAGGCTACTTGAATTTCATCAGTATCTGATTAGTATTTTTATATGAAAACAAAGTGTTATTTTCTCCTATCATTTAATTGTAACATGTGAGCTACAGTTAAATTAAAAATGAAATTCCTTTAAGAGTAAGTACGCACAATAGTGCTCCACCATTTGGGTAGGGGTATCCTTCATTGTTGCTCTCCTCACATGATAATTCATTGAGGACCTAGCAAATCCACCAGAAACGGAAGCAAACAAAGAATTATGTTCTAGATATGTGGATTACACTTGATAAATTGAGATGCCATCCCAGACACTTCAATTGTTCAATGCATATTATGTCATGTGGACTCGACATGTGAGTTCCATGTATGTATAAGGCATACATTTGGTGTGAAGAGGCACATCATTTGGGAAGTTGGGTGTCCTAAATAATTTATGCTAACTTAGTGGCTTATGTTTTACAGGATTGGATATGGTCCGTGGGATGCAGCCCCTTCTCCATTACTTCTCAAGGTTGGCATATATCAAAATTTCAATCAGATACAATTGCTCGGAGCTACATCATCACAACTCTGGACGAGTCAATAAAATTGGTCAATTCAGCTGTGCACCTTCTACTCTGGGAGCGTACAAGTATCCTTCTCTTGTGGTCAATCAATAATTGAAAACTACATCATGCTTGTACCTATATATTACTCGTAACATACTCAGATAATTATGCACAGGATGGCTTTTTCATGATTCCGTAGCAATATTATAGACTTGCTCTAACTTGAGTTAGTTGTGTGCTAAAAAGGAATATGTATTGTTAATATTTTGTTTTGAGTATTCAAAATAAGGCTTGGATTTAAGGTATAACAATTACTGTGGGTTCTAAGTCAACAAATTCTGATGCTCTAAAATCCTGCTGTGGTTTATTGTGTTCATCTTTTGAATCAAGGTTTGGTTTTAGGCTGTATTTAGTCCTGACTTGCTAAAAATGGAGTTGCTACAAAGTGAGACTTAACCTATAGCAGCTGAGAAAACCTTTAAACTCTTCCAATCTCAGGAACGTGAACTAGTCAACAAGTATAATTATGTCGTCAGCTTATGGAGAAGAGTAAGTGCATTTGCTTATTGTCATCTTGATAAGATTATTTTAATTCAATTAACACCACATTATACTTTATAATGGTGGTGATTGTTTACATGCTAACATGCATTTTCTCCGTTTCAGATATCAACTATTACTGTGAATTGAGATATGCAGATGCCATGAGACTGCTACATACCTTAGAGGACGCATCCCAAGGGTTTGTTTTCGCTAAAAAGTTTCATTGTCATGCCTATATTATTTGGTTAATTTCAATAGCCATGCAGATAAATTGAGATTTGTTTTGCATTTAGCAATATTATAAGAAAAGGAAGGGTTCTTATGATGATTGAGCTGATGAGATTTTGGGAAGTTGCAACAGATGCAATTTCCCCCCTTTCTTTGAGAATGTGTATGCAAATACATTTATCTATAAGTAGTGTAGTGAAATGCTTAAGAAAAGCTTTTAGTTTTTGTAAAAGACAAACTCAGAACATATCGGGAAACAAATTTTAAAATGAATATGAATCTTTTAACATGTAAATAATGGGAAGTAAATGAGGTGAATTTCATAATTCTCTTCAAGTGCAACTATTTTGTGCTGTTGTTTCATCCCAACTTTAGGTTCCATTCTTTTTGGCCACCTTTAGCATTTGGTTGATGAAGATGTGGACTGACATTGTTGTATCAGTTAACTGAATTGTTAGTTGGTAGCAACTTATGTTATGTGGAGTAATATTTCTCAGTGCTGGTCAATGCCCAAATATGCGGTAATATATCTCCTAAATTGAAGTTTCGATGTTATTTCCGGTTGCGTTGAGAAAGATGGGTTAGTGACATTTAAGATATATTTGATATTCATCAGGGGATAGTTCAAGTGTGTGGTAATATCTCCTGATTTCTTGAAAGCAAACTGTTTTCCTGAGTTTAGTGGTTATGAGGTTTCTGTTGTGTTTAAAAAATTCAATAGGCCCCGTGGGATCTAAATTTTCATGAAATCTCATTGATTTTTGGTTCAATTAATCCATTTTCAACGGGGTTTAATTTGGATATCGAGTTTACACTGGTTGATATTCTGGCTCTTTGATTATCTAGATGCTATGGCAGTTTTAAACTATGTTGCTTGGGGTCTCATTTGTTCAGTAGTATTGATTTTCCATACTCGTCTGATACATGGATATGGGGATACGATTGTAAGGACCATCCAAATATATGAAAAAACTTAGAAAAATCCAATCATACCCATGTCTAATACATATCCATATCCAACACTCATATCCGAGTTTTGATTTTGTAATGCAGGTTTGTTGATCAAGTGAATGCAACTATATCCCTTCTTCATCCGATTCATTGCACAAAAGACAGGAAAGTGAATGTAGAGTTCGATGTGACAACAATCCCGCATTCTTGATTGTTTTTGGTATTCTCTATCTTGTGCTAAAGCCAAGACGACCGAAACCCAAGATCAACTGAGTTGATGTCATGGTTGCAAAAGTAGTCGTGATCAGCTCCAGCTGCATTGTAGACTGTCGCACGAGTGACTAAAATTTTCCCCCGCGATAATCGCACAGGTTAGCATTCACCATAACAGAACTGTTCTACAAAATGATACTTCCATAAGGAATGGAAAAGAAAAATGAGAAAGTGACAAATGGTGAAAATGGAAAATTATAATTGGTAGTTGTAAGGTTTTGTTGTACTGTTCTTAGAGTATTGGTCTGAAATTGTCATCTTATAGATAGACAGAGATTAAAACCAAATTGTAGTGATTTCATTTGGTGATGGATGTTTCAAATCAAAATTGTTGGGGGTATTTAGTGCAACTCTTTTGACTATTCAAGGCAAGCTCTGATATGAAATACAATGTTGATAAGGTCAATAGTGGCTGCTGTACATGCATGCATATAATGGTTGTTGGTTAATATTTTATGCTATATAACTAGATATATATTTTTTATTTAGTGGACAAAATTAATATTATACAAATATATTTTTTAAGAAATTCTTAAAATGACTAACCAAATCGAATCGAATCGATGGAATTCATGTTTGTTTGTACAACGGAAAAATAATGGTTGAAAGCGAGACAGAGGAAGGTTGGATTAGGTCGAAGTTTTTCTTTTAGAAAAAAAAGGAAAAAGATAATGACATGCTTTGTATGTTTGATTATGTGACAGTCAAGTTTAAGTTGTAAAATAATGACATGCTTTGTATGTTTGATTAATGTGACAGTCAAGTTTAAGTTGTAAAACTATCCACATTTACTTTTAAATTTATAATCTTATCACACAATTTTATTTATTTTTATTTCGGTCATTATATTTAACCTTTTCAAATTCGATTATTTGATTTTGATATTATTTTATTTGTTTTTATCATAAACAATTAATCATGTTATGAAATGACATCTATCTTTAAGAATTAAAAAAAGGGTCCAAAACCCCCTTTAATTTTTTTAAAATATCTCTAAAAATTTTCTCTCATTGTAAATGACAAGAATGAAACTCTAAAAATTTCAAAGTTATTAAGAAGATGGTGCAGCGAAGAAAACAAGGTGGATAACACTTACCTCTTTGTCAAGAAAAAATAGATATTGTGATTACTGTTTGAGTGAAAAAAACGCATTAATATCAAAATTGAGTGGTAAAAGTATTTTTTTAGAAAAAGTTATGACCAAACAACAACATGGTCAAGTTAAGTGATGAAAAGTGTAGTATTCCCATTCTAATATTCTTCTTCAAAACAAATAATAACATTGAACGAAGCTTCCAGAAATCAAATTTGATTTGAATAATTATAGTAATAATAAATCTTCTCCATTCACCGATTCTCCCTCAGAATAACCAATAATCATCGATAAGATCTTCAGTAAAATTCCAACGATAAGTTGATTGGATCCATAAAATTAGCTTAAATTGAGATGGAGAATGGAGGAGCGGAGAAGGTCCATGGCGACGGCAATGGCAATGGGCAGACAGCCGCAGCAGCGTCGTATACTTATTGGGTCCGAGAAGCGACAGCGGACGCCGCTCCCCTCCCTCTTCCGAAGAAACTCATCGCTCAAGACTTAGTTTCGAACCAATCTCAGCTCGCAACGCTTGGTTCTGTTTGGAATCGGGTATTTATTCCTCCTTTCTTTAATTCGCTTTATTCATTTTATTTGTGTTTCTATGTTTACAAATGATCTGATCTAGCCGACTTAGTTTTAGTCCGGTTGTCATTGCTGCTGTTGTAATGTCATGGAGAATGTAGGTTCGAGCGCCTAATAGCCTCCGATTTAGGGATTTGGTGACATATTATGTAGCTTAGACATTGCAATCTATCGTTTTAGTAATGAGTATTCTCAGGGAATGCAATATTTATCTTAGGGTGTGAATGTAGTAGAAATGAAAGGGTGTGAAATTATAAAATTTCAAGGGTGTAGTTATCAAAAGAAAATAGAAGTGTTTAAGTTGCATGAGAACTTGAGATTTTCAGGGATGCGACCGACCCATATCCCACTCGGTCCATCCCTAGATATTCTGATAATTTGGTGTATTTCAACAACCTTGTTTATTGTTTGCTTCTTGTTACTTGCAGGCTGGAACGTGGGAGGAGAAAAACCTTAATAGCTGGGCTACCCAAAGATTAAAGGTCTTTATACAAATCTCTTCTTTCTTTTATATATATGTATGTGCAGTGTGCTTGTATATTTAAAGCTTTAAATGAACTGAAAACCCAATATATTTCCAGGAATTGTTTAGATCTGTGGCACATTGGACTTCTCGCGGCAAGGCCGAGATTTCTGATGTAACCAAGTGTGATGGCGATGTCAGTGTTTCCAACTTTCATTTGTTTTTTTTATGTCTCACTGTTATTTCACACCATTGATGTAGTTTAACTAAACTGCACCGATGGCTGTACTTGTAGAGATTAATCTTATTTCCTGGTGAATTCCCGATTGTGCAGGCATTTTTGGTTACTGTACGAAACAAGAAGCGTGTAGGTTATACGTATGAGTTGACATTAAAAGTCAAGGTAAGTTGGGTCTAAATTTGGTTATGTGCTCGGACTTTTCATTTTTCATTAGTTCCCGTATTTGATAGTTGGATATGGAGGATATGACCTCCAAGGATTCTTCAAATATATGAAAAACTTGACAAATCTAATCATACCCATGCTTGATACTTGCTCCTGAGTCTGAGTAACATAGAATTGTGGTGTTATCCTTACTTCTGAAGCTTATTTTATCATTTTGCTGATCAAATTTTGGACTTCAATTGATATCAGGCGAGTGGCATATACAGGAGGAGAAGAAAACTGTTAAGGGACATATTGATATCCCAGAATTCTCATATGGTGAGCTTGATGACTTGCAGGTATGATTGAGTTGTGTTAATAATATCTATTTGGTGTAAAACAGAGAGTAGGATAAACTTGTTGAATGCATCAGAAGCTATACAATATGAATCATTAAGACATTAACATGATAAAATTCATAGAATATATCTCGATTGTGGCATAAAATAACTGGAACACCATAATGATACATGATTTGTAGATCTAGGTTTCGGGTAGAACACTCCAAACCCTAAAACCAACCTTGGGGGAGGGTAATTATTTCCATAACCGCACAAGAGGTGTTTGTAACATATCGACTTTTAGAACCATAATGAGAGTTGGCAGAGCCGACTAAAATGTTCTTTATGTATTCATTTTGCATAACCATAGATGGAAGTGAAGCTCAGTGAAGAGAAAGAATTCGTGCTGCAAGACAAGCAGCAGATTGTCCAGGACTTGAAGAAGCTGTTTTTGCAGCCTGTCCGGGAGAAATTGCTTCAATTTGAGCAGGAACTCAAAGATCGGTAGCGGTTCGTCTTTCGCTTGATTAAAACTTTGGTTTTTGATGCAATTTGTTATTAGACTGTAACTGTATCATGTCATCTGCTGTTAAACACTGCTTAAAATGGAATTCTATGTAGCGGGAAATTGTTAAGGAGTCAAAAGGCTCCGTTGGTATATGGCTTAAATGTGCCTAATATTGAGATAGTATTGTTTTGCCTGATATTGTACCCAATTTAAATTGAATCTTCTACGTTTCTGCGTTGTGTTTTCTTTGCATGGTCGTTTGTAATTAGTGTTAAATAATTAGTTTTATACATAAGATTTTTCAAGTATTTGAATATAGCATTCTAAACATTGAGTCGCTCTGTCGTCTGATCGGCAAGCAAGTACGTTGCAGATGTTCGCACAGTTCTTTTTCTTCTTTTCTGAAATTTTTGGTCCATTAATCACATTTCTTTCATTTGGGTCATGAATGATTTTAAAATCGATGGAAGATGTTAAAATCACAGAATTCGTCACTAAGGTGTGACGCGTACTTGGAAAATCTGTCACGTCAACAAAGGTATGACGCGTACTTTGAAAATATTCATCAGTATTAAAAGGATGTAATTTTTTAAAATAAAATTATTTTGTACATCTGTTATAACAAATTGGCTTTTTTATAAAAAATATTTTTTATAAACATTGTTATTTCTTGTTTCGTTGTTATGTCAGCTTTTGCAATTAATTCAAATTAGCTGTCGTATGATTTGTATATATTTTAGGGCGTCAAAATTTGAAACCGAGTAAATAGATTGGTAAACGGAAACAAAGAGTAGGTAGAAAAGAGCACAGAGAAATCTAAAATAATCCCAACCTAATTCAATTTTAAAACCTCAACATTATTTTGCTTTATTTAAATTATAAAATCCAACTAACCTATGTATAAAATCCAGCGGTACGCAAGATTAGTTTACATGGAAAAAAATCATATTTGACATATTAATTGAACCACTTAAAAAATTTATTTGACATATTAATTGTTAATTCAAATTAAATATCATATAGTTTTAATATGCGGATGATTTTTCTATCTATTTTTTATTTAATTTTTGGTTTTATTAAAGGAATTAACATTTATTCTATTAGACCAATATAATTAGATATTATAAAATTTATTATGAAAGGGATCGTTCTGATATAATTGTTTTTATTATGACGGATCTTATTATAATTGATTTTATTATAATCGTTATGATATAATCGTTCCGATATAATCGTTCCTATAATTGTTTTCACATTGAATTAACTTGAATAAATTAGGTGAAGCAAGGAGACTTAGTTGACTTGAAACGAGTTAAAAAAATATAGGAAATTTAGATATATGCATGCTCTCACCAGTCGCACTAACGTTCCTTAACTTCGTTGTTTGTTTCTCGAGAAAAAATGGGAAGCCTTAGCCTACTATTGGTGTTGTTGCAACTTTCATGGAGTTTCTCTTCCTCTGTTTCCCTCCGCCCTCTCCTTTATGTCTTCCGGACCAAAGAGATGCTTTGCTCCAATTTAAAAACACCATTACTATAACTGGCTTTTTGTGCATGGATGATTACTCTGGTTCCTACCCAAAGACAGAGTCGTGGAACAAAAGCATTGATTGCTGTTCATGGTAGGGAGTCGAATGTAATAATCGGACCAGTCACGTAATCGGCATTGGTCTTAGCAACAGTTGCCTTAACGGTTCTCTCATTGCAAACAGCAGCCTCTTTCTCCTTCACAGTCTTCAGTGGCTTGACCTCAGCTACAACTTCCTCTTCGGCTCTCCTCTTGACAACAACAGCAGCCTGTTTCGCTTGCATAGACTCCGACGACTCGACTTAGCGTACAACTATTTCGACGGCACTATTTCACCCGAGTTGTTCACTTGTTTGTTCAGTTGGTGAGTTTAACCCATCTTGATCTCTCTCATAATGGCGTCTCTGATCCAGTTTCCAATTTGGTACTTGATGCACAAGGTTTTGAGATGCTTGCAAGAAACTTGATCAGATTAAGAAATCTTCTGCTCGACTCCGTTGACATGTCCGGTGTTGCGGTTTCTTCGTTTCTAAACTTGTCTTCTTCGTTACGACGTTTGAGTCTCGGAGAATGCCAGTTGCACGGGGAGTTTCCGACTGAAATTTTCCAGTTCCCGAACCTCAAACATATAGGTTTAGGTGACAATGAAGATCTTAGAGGTTATCTCCCCAAGACAAACTGGAGTAGTGGCTTTGAGTTGTTGGATCTTTCCCATTGTGGTTTTAGAGGGTCAGTTCCAGCATCATTTGGGAACCTCACTCAACTCATGTCCATCGATTTATCTCGAAATCAGCTTCGGGGACGGATTCCGGATATTTTTCGAAACCATGGCAAATTAACTTATTTGGGACTTTCTTCCTGCAACTTGAGTGGTCCAGTCCCGGATTCTGTTTTTGGTACCCATCGCCTTAAGGAACTTCGATTGTCATCAAATAACTTGAGTGGTGTCATCAGGTCCGGTATGCTTTCGAAGCTCTCGAGTCTTGAAGTTCTTGATCTTTCTAATAATAGTTTACTATCATCGAGTACAAGCGGCATTGATGCGAACCATTCCTTCTCTCGGCTTGCAACCGTTTTGTTCTCTTCTAGTAGCGTAAGGCATTTCCCGAGTTTCTTTCAAACATCAAAGTTGGAGTATTTAGATCTTTCCAACAACATGATTTCCGGTGGAATTTCCAAATGGGAGGCTCAAGGGTGGGAAGAACTGTCTGTGTTGAACCTTTCTTATAACTATCTGACCACTTTGGAGCAATTTCCGGGACAGAAATTGGCAATACTCGACCTTCGTTCCAACATGCTTCAAGGCCCAATTCTCTCGACTTGCTTGAATCATCGAACTCCAAATCCACAGTTGTTCGACGAGTTCTTAATCTCAGGGAACAATTTGACAGGAAATATCCCTTCTTCCATCTGCAATTGGAGTGAACTCACGGTTCTCGACTTGTCCTGGAACAACTTGAGTGGGACTATACCCGAATGTCTCGGGAATTTCAGCAACTCACTTGCGTTCGTCGATTTGCAGATGAACAACTTCAACGGAAAGATCCCAGATTCTTTCGTGAATATTCCTTGACTCATCTTTTCCTTAATAACAATCATTGGAAGGATTTGTACCACCTTCTTTGGCTAATTCCAAGTCATTGCAGCTTTTGACTTAGGAACTTAAAACAAGTTGTTGATTTTTCCCCATTGGTTAGCTTCACTCCCCAGTCTGCAAGTTCTTATATTGAGATCTAATAGATTCATGGTTCGCTGACTCATTCCATAGCTTCATTCGGCTTCTCTGCATTGCGAATGATTGATCTCTCCGGAAATGAGATCACCGGCACCTTGCCCTTGAAACTCTTCCGGAATTTGAGAGCAATGACAGAGAAACCTGTGGAGAAGCGTCAACGACCATTAGTTTACCGTCTCGGCGATAATTTCGTCGGCATTAGGGATTACCACATTTCTTTGAATGTAACAACGAAGAGATTGGAGATGGAATTGACGAAGACTCTAGACGTTTTCGTATCCATGGACTTGTCGAAAAACCGATTCGGTGGACGAATTCACGAGGAAGTAGGACAACTTATTTCCCTTCAAATGCTCAACTTCTCTCGCAATAACTTCGCCGGTCCGATCCCGGCATCGTTCGGAAATTTGGTGGCACTTGAATCATTAGATCTTTCATCAAACAAGATCAACGGCAATATTCCTTCTCAAATGACGAATTTGACGTTTCTTGCGGTGTTGAATCTTTCAAGCAACAATCTTTTCGGATCGATTCCCCAAGGGAATCAATTTGGCACCTTCGATAACGATTCCTACAGCGATAACTTGGGATTGAGCGGCTTACCATTGTCCAAGCAATGCGGCATGGCGGGGTGGCTGAACCTCCGACACCATTGGTGGCGGAATATGAAGGTTCTGAACCACTGTCTTTTTGGAAAGTTGTAATGATGGGGTAGGAAGTGGAGTGGTGCTAGGACTGAGCACAGGTTACATTGTTTCGTAACCGGAAGACCATGGTGGCTTGTTCGAATGGTCGAGAGAGGTTTACAATACAAATTCACCAACTGGATCCGAAGAAGGAGAACCAGAAGAAACTAGCTCTCAATTCAAAGTGAAGATTCATCTTGTTCAGTCTCTTTAGAAGCAATTTTAATAAACCAGGGAGGTGTCTTCATGTTCATCATTATTTTAAATATGTATACGTGGATCGTTCTTATAATAAATAAATGTTAAATTCGATTCGGATTATCAAGCGATAAATTAGAGAGTTTGATTGGACAAACGATATTACATTCGGATAGGAGTTAAATACTAGTTTTCATTCTGCTGAAAATCTTTGCCGTGATTGGAATTGAAACCAATAGATATTTAAAATATATGTTAAATATATGTTGATTTTTTTATAGGAATATTAAGCCTCATTAAAAAACCCCTTCATGATTAATGGAATCTGAAAAAATTCCTTAATCAGCGGAAGGAGAAAAGAGTGCCTTGGATTTTATTAATAATAAACTTAATACAATAGATTACAAAAACCTATAACTCCTTGAAGGAGATCGACAACCTAAATAGTTACAACCTTAAAAACAACATAAATATCAACCAATTCCAGCCTTAGCTAGAGCGTCTGCCTCTAGATTAGCTGCCCTATAACCCATCTAATAACCTTCACACAGTCTAAGTTTTTCATAATATCTTTAACAATGTAAGCATAAACAACATGACATGAAACGAAATCCCTAACTCAGTCAACTGCCACCTGCAGTCACTCTCAATGATCAATCGATCCTTGAATCTGTTCGTATAGTGTGAAAGAAAGATAAACCTTAAGGATATATTTCAATTCCATCAAGTAAGGAGGACCAGTCCTGGATTCCTGTAAGTGTCTATGATTGTCCCGTTATCATCTCTCAAAACACCACCTATCCCACTTCTCTTCCAATCTGTAGTAGTAGCAGCATCGACATTTAATTTGATGAAGCCCTTTGGGGGAGGGGACCAATTAATCACAGTTGCAATCGGTTTGGAGTTAGGAGAACAAGAATCCCCTAAGGAAGGATCTGAAATAAGCAAATCCTTAGAGATCAAAACCTGTTTGTACTTAGCTAAGTACCATGAAGCTAGCCTGAACCTAGCTAAAAAGAAGAGTTCTGCTTGATCTACCATCCCTCCTTCAAATACAATATAATTTCTGAATTTTCAAATTGTCCATATGACAACCCCTGGAATAAATGACTATATGGTCGAATTAATCGTCAAATCAGCCCATGCTAGGAGAAATATTTTTGCATCAACATGAAAGATAGATTGAATGTTCCAGAACCTAATAAATTTATTCCAAATGCTCCAAACCACCGAACAAGTAAAAAATAAATGGGAGGGTGTCTCATCAAACTGCTTGCAAAAAGGACACAACAAGTCATCTATACCCAGCATACCTCTTTTAACAAGAGCTGACTTCACTGCCAGCTTCTGTAGAATAACTTGTCATACAAATGTCTCCACTCTTGGAGGCAGTAATCCACTCCAAACAACATTTTTCCAGAAATTAATCTCTGATGAACTTGAGGTCCCTGAATAGCACTGAATAACATAAGATTTCACAGTAAATACCCCATCTCCAGTGCCTTTCCAAACCAGTACGTCAGATGAATCAACCGAAAGGGAAATATTTGAAATAATTGTCATCAATTAGACCACTGCTCATATTCCCAATCATTCAATTCCCTTCTTAAATGTATATCCCAAAATCAGCTGCCTGAGCTAAAATCACCAAACTCATATAGTTTTCTAGTTTGTTTAAGGAATGGAAAACAATCTCGAAAAATGATCTTTAATGGTTGATCCATTGCCCAAACATCTTGCCAAAATCGAATGCTACCCATCGCCAACTTGAAAAGAATAGTTGCTTCTAATTTTACAGCCATAGGGTCTATTTGTAATGATTGTTCACCACGAATCTCCAAATCCATGAAATTTGGGTGTAACCTTATGTCAAATAGCAGTAAAGACGAGTCTAAATTGTATTTAGAACAAATCAATTTCCTCCATTCCACATTTCTTTCATTAGCAAACCTCCAAGACCATTTTTCTAATAAAGCTCTGTTTACCTTGTCGATGTTTGTAACCCCCAATCCACCTTCGAATTTCGGTTTGCACACATTGGGCCACCCACCCAATGAATCTTGTTTGGACCATTTCCTCCGCCTCATAAGAATTGGACATGATAGAATTGATTGACTTGTACACCGAAGCCAGAACTTTAAACAATGACAAATAGTATATAGGAAGCGAGCATAAGACTGAATAAATTAAACTAACCTCCCTGCAATAGAAGAGAGGATGCCTTCCAACCTGCCAACTTCTTGTTGAAACTGAACCACTGGATCCCATAGGGCAGAAGAATTTCTTTGTGCTCCCAGAGGTAGTCCTAAGTATTATGAAGGAAAACTACCAACAGTACAACCCACAGACTGTGTCCAATCTCTTTTTTCTCTTCATTCATATTCACCCCAAAAAGTTTTGACTCTAAGTTCAACTGTAGGGCAGATATAACTTCGAAGACTCGAAGTACTCTCTTTACGTTCATAACATGCTTCTTAGTGCACACATAATATTTATGTCATCACAAATTGAAGGTGAGATAATTTGAAAGTTCCTTTCTCCTTGCTAATACCATACTCGAAAATACCCTTCTGAAACAGCCACAATCATAAGATTAAGGAGTTCTCCTACTATGTTAATAACATAGGACAAGAGAAACCTTGACGAATACCCTTTGAAAGTTCCTTTCTCCTTGCTAATAACCATACTCGAAAATAACCCTTCTGAAACAGCCCTACGAATCATAAGATTAAGGAGTTCTCCTACTATGTTAAATAACATAGGAGACAAAGAGAAACCTTGACGAATACCCTTTCCCATTGGGAATTCCTCTGAAGGAACCCCATTAACCAAAACTGATATAAAAGCTGTTGTGACGCATTTCGAGATCCAGCTAATCCATGTAGAACCAAAGCCCATTTTTCTCATTACTCTGAAAAGAATAGGCCAGTCAACTGTGTCATATGCCTTTTTAAAATCCACTTTAAAAACACAACCCTTTAAACCTTTCTTCCTCCAAAAATCAATTCCTTCATTAGCAATTAAAGAGCAGTCCAAAATTTGTCGACCTAGGATGAAAGCAAATTAAGAAGGACTGATAATGTCTGAAATGTAGCTCCTTAACCTCTTTTATAGGCACTTAGATAAAATCTTATATAGTCCACCTACTAACTTATAGGTCTATAATCATCAAGGCCACCTGCATTTGAAATCTTTGGAGTAAGAGTAATGAATGTATGGTTTACACCATGTTCCCAATCTTTTCCCAAATAGAAATTACGAAAGAATATCATAATATCTTCCTTTAAAACAGGCCAGAACCTCTTGAAAAATCCCAAATTTAAACCATCCGGCCCTGGGGATTTGTTACTGTTACAAGACTTCAAGGTTTCCAAAATCTCATCTTCAAAAAAATCTTTGTAACACCCCCAACCCGTATCCGACCCTTACATATAACTTATTCAAAACCTTTATCGAACTATTCAGAGCTTATACATATATTATCTTGAATACATGCCAACTAGAACTTTGTATTCAAATACATATTATTTATCTTTCTTCTGATCTGACTTTTGGTAAGAAGAACTGACCTGTCTTGCTCCACGTTGCTCTTTACTCTTCTTACTTCTGTAACCTACGTGTGAAACAATCACACTCTAAGTCGTTGACTTAGTGAGGCATAAAACATATAATAAAACTCTAACTCGTAATCATACTTGAACAATTTCTACTAACATATCACAAACAAGCATCACACCCACATATACATATAATTATTTTTCTTTCCTATCTTTATCATATTATCACCTTTCATATTTCTATTATCTTGTTTATATGATCAATTAAGCTCATATCATATATCTTATAGCATATACAATAATCACTAACACACATACATTACATTCAATGTTATCTCTTATTAGCACATGTGCACCTGTGAGAACTGTAGATATGTGAGTCTATTGAGGTTGTACACTACAATGCTGTCACCACAGCTCATATAAATGTCCCGAAGGACCTATCCAGAGGTCACAAAGACCCCGGTAACTATCAAGAGGTCATAAAGAACCTCGGCAACTGTCCATAGGTCCCAAAGAACCTAGGTAAACTGTCCATATGTTCCTTAGAACATAGGTATACTGTCCATATGTCTCGAAAGACATAGGTAAAACCCTCGACTCTTGGCATGCCAACTATACCTATAGCTCTCGTATCATATAACATGGGCCTTATATTCATATCACTTCACATATTCACATGTACATTTCACTTTTCATATGATTTCAAAATCATCTGTCACGTAGCTTATAACACTTCTCTTGTGTTCATATGGCATGTAACTCATTGTCATCTCTTATTCTCATATGATTCTCATACATCAAGTATATCACATAGCACATAGTATAACATATAAACTTATACAGGTCTCCATATATATACTTTCATATACTTCGAATAACAATGCCCTATAACTTCTCACAGTTTTACCTAATCACTTATTTCACATTAATTATATTCTAGTTTCATATATTACTTAATTCAATTTCACATAGCTTGTTACCTATATAAATATTTTCTCATAACTTATCATCACATAGTTCCCATAACATTTTCCTATAGATTCACAAATCTTTACCATATGACTCATGTATTATATGTTCATTTCAGCTCATATATCCTCTCCATATAACTTATTTTACATGTTCATATAATCACTTCTGTCAATGTCTCCTCATTTATATATTATTCTTATATTGTCCTATAAATCAATGTTATTTAACTTATCTCACTTTTCATCTAATCTCATAAGTTGGTTATACAAATTCTATATATATGTATAT